CCCTGCAAGCCAGAAGAGAGCACCAGATCTCATTACAGATGGTTGTGAGCCACCATGTGGTTGCTGGGAATTGAACTCAGGACCTTTGGAAGAACAAGCAGTGCTCTTAACCTCTGAGCCATCTCTCCAGCCCAATTTTATTTATTATTACTGAGTGTGTATGTATGTTTATGTTGGTGGGAGCTTCATGGTGCCTGTGAAAGTCAGAAGACAACTTGAAGAAATCAGTTGTCTCCTTCTACCTTTATGTAGGTTTTGGGTACCAAACTCAGATAGTCCATCCAGACTTATGTACCAAGCACTCTCCCAGCTGAGGCATCTTGTAGCCCTTATATTAATTACTGATAACTTTTAATTCATTTATTTTTTGGGTTTTAGATTAGCACTTGGATTTTAGATTGGTTCACTTTCTATTACAGTTTAAAAACAGTACCAATGGTACTAACAGCCATGGCTATACTGTAAAAACCATGTTCTAGCATTTCTGTGTGCATTTTTCTTGACCAATCTTACCATAACCTTTATACTATCGATACCAGAGAACTGGTATTGGATGGATATTGTTAATCCTTAAAGAGGAGGAAAATAGAGAATTCTTACATATGTTGATGGACCTAAATATTAACTACAAACAAAATTCTTAATTTATTAAGAATTGAAAATGCATCCACAAGTAAAATTGAAGGTAATAATAACATTAACTACCAAGTTACATCAAAGTAGTTCTTTTCATTTCTTGGAGTTCCTATCAATTAGGAACATGTTTGTTCAGAACAACACAACAAATATTTTCGAGATACACTTTGGACCAAGGAAATACGGGCTAGATGACAGTGCTTTCACAAACTATTTATAACTCTTTGAATAGCTATACTCAGAGAATAATTATTAGCAAGACAAAATGAACTTGTGCAGGATTTGTATTATTATCCTAGTTAGTACTTCTTAAATTTATCTTTTAGAGTGCTAGCGATTGAACCTAGCTACGGAGTAAGATCCTATCACCCATGGGATTAAGTAAAGATATTTTAGACAACACCGTTGTTAACTAAGGGTATCAGAAGCATGCTTATCAACTCTGCAGACAACACACTAAGCTGAGATGTTAGCTTCCATGATGAATGACAGAACTGGCCCTCAAAAAGAAATGGCGGAAGGACAGGGGCACAGTTCAGTTGTACAGCATGTGCTTAGCATGTTCATGAGCCTGGATTCAATGGGGGCAGGAGGGGGAGAGGGAGGAAGGGAGGAGGGGGAGAGAGAGAGAGAACAAGCTAGAAAAAAGTTTCACTGGTACAAGGTCATGCTCATCCATCTACATATTGTCTATGGCTGCCTATGTGTGGCAGAACCAAGTAGCTGTCTCAGACTATAAAGCCTAAAATACTATTGGCCTTTCACGACCCTTGATCTAGATGTATTAAAACTTAACTGGTTTGGTCCACAACAAAATCAACACAAGACAACACTGCTCCAAAGGTAACATTTTAAAGTGCTATTTTAGATTATACTGAAAGTTAGGCTGGGGTGTGGCTCAATGGGAAAGCGCCTTCCTGGCAAGCACAAGGCCCCAGGTTTGTCCTCCAGCACCCCCAACAAAACAAAACACAATTTAAGAAGTTAAAGAGGTACTATATCCCATCAAATTCTTTGAACACCAATCAACAAGGGGCCCGACTGTACTACATGCCAAGGCACTACACCAGTAAAGATTAATATAACCTGCAACTTGAAATTCGCTTCCTGTCAAGCTGCTAATGGACACACAACTAGTAGCTGGGGCCATCAGTGTGGTTCACATCTAGAATACTGAGTTCGGTTCTGGGGAGAGCCTTCCAAGGACATTATCAAGTTCCATACTGTTTGGAGGAGAGAAAAAGTTCAGGAGCGTGTCCCCCTTCCCCTGCACACACAAACAAATAAACGTAATAAAAATCTAAATAAACACTTTTTAAAAAGTTACAGCGCCTCCTCTGTCAGTGCATATACTAAGGGCGCACGCCTCGGCAAAGGATGACAAACAAATTTGTAGTGTATTTTCTAATTCTACTTTTGCTGTCTGAATTAATGTGAATGTCTCAAAACAGGCAAATGCAGTATGCATATTTCATGTGGATAAAAATGTATAAGGGAGAATTACAAGTCAGGGATGACGTCACATATACTGGGAAGGTGAGGGCTGGAGGATTGGAAGGGAGTTTAAGGCCGTCCTGGGCTACAAGAGGCCTGTTCTCACAAAAAAACAAAACCAAGTAAATAAGTGTTAACATTTAGGGGAATGTTCTCGAATTGATGTACATAGTAGATGAATGGGATACAGCGTGTACTCTTCAAATGCTCGGTTCTTTTCTTACCTCATTCTTAAATGATCTAAGATGTCTATGAAAAGAGCAAACAAGTGCTTTAATACATAACGTTATTTCGCACCTCTTAGAACCGCCAGTATCTGTCCTGTTGGACGTGGAAGAAAGGGGGCAGAGATTGGGTTTTCATTAAGTTTTTGTTGCAATTAATGAGAAAGAGGCAAGCCAACCCCAAGTTGACCCATGGAACCACTCAGCAGACATGTTTCCAGGGCTTCAGGATGCAGGTTTTCTGTGTTCTACATTCAGGGACTCCGGGTGCCTTATCCTTCACCAGGGCCATAGGTGTTCTCCTATACACAGTGTGGCCATTTCTGGTACTTTGAGAAAACCTTTGGGTCAAGTCCTGGGTTGATTTTCTTGCTGGCCAGCACCCTTGGCTCTGGGTGCTCTTACATCGGCGCGCCCCAAATCCTTTCCTATGCCATCCACTGGTAACTCCCGTGTCAATTTGAAAAAACGGTCACCCTCTGTCTCCTAGGGCGGCGGCCCAGACACAGTCCTCTCACCTCCTGGCAAGCCCCAGACCCAAAAGATTTAAAATACCCTAAATGCACCGGCATCGACTTTAAATACAATTTATAACTGAGTTTGGACGATGCTGATGACGTCTCACATTTTGTTCTCCCTTTTGAGGGGGTCAAAGCATCCTTTCGGGTCGCTAAAAGGTTCTTGGGGAGGGGACCTAGGTCTCCGAGACAGAGAGGGAGGCCGGGCCCTGGTCAGACCGCCCTCTCCCAGTGACGTCGCCGCACCACCCGCGGTCGCCCGCCGCGCATCCTCTCACAACCGCTCCCTTCCCGCTCGCCTCCCTCGGCTCGCCTCGCCACCAGACTCCCACCTCTCGGGTGCCCGCCCAACAACGCAGCGCAGGCCGGCTCGCCTGGGCCTCGGGTAGCTCCGCCAAGGGACCGTCCGCTCGCTCGCTATCCCCGCCCGGCGCCCCGGGCCCCG